TTTACAGCAATTAGTGCCTACATCAAGAAATTGGAAGGGCATCAAATAAGTGAGCTACAAATGTATCTCAAGGACCTAGAAAAACAACAACAACAACAAGCCAAACCCAAAATTAGTACAAGGAAAGAAATAATTAAAATTAGAGAAAAAGGGGCCGGTGCTGTGGTGCATTCGGTTAAAGCCCTGGCCTGAAACACCAGCATCCCATATGGACGCCGGTTCTAGTCCCGGCTGCTCCACGTCTGATCCAGCTCTCTGCTCTGGCCTGGAAGAACAGCAGAAGAAGGCCCAAGTCCTTGGGTCCCTGCACCCACGTGGAAGACCTGGAAGAAGCTTCTGGCTCCTGGCTTCGGATAGGCGCAGTTCTGGCCATTGTGGCCATCTGGGGAGTGAAGACCTCTCTCTCTCTCTCTCTCTGTCCCTACCTCTCTCTGTCCCTACCTCTCTCTGTAACTCTGTCTTTCAAATAAATAAAATAAATCTTTAAGAAAAATTAGAGAAAAATAAACAAAATTGAAATGAAAAATACAAAAGATTAATGAAATGAAAAACTGGTTTTTTGAAAATAACAAACAAAATTGGTATACCATTGGCCCAACTAATCAATAAAAATGAAAAGACCCAAATTAGTAAAATCAGAGATGGAAGAGGAAATGTAATAAAGGATACCACATAAATAAAAAGAATCATCAAGAATTACCACAAAGAGCTGTATGCCAAACAATTGGAAAACCTAGAAGAAATGCATAGATTCCTAGACACAGACAATCTGCCAAAATTGAGCCCTGAAGACACTGAAAATCTGAACAGAGCAATAACCAAGCTGGAGATTGAGTCAATAATAAAGACTCTCCCAACAAAGCAAATTCCAGGACCAGATGGCTTCACTGCTGATTTGTACCAACTTTTAAATAGCTAATTCCAGTTCTTCTCAAACTATTCAAAACAATGGAAAGGGAGGGAATCCTCCCAAACTCCTTCTGTGAAGCCAGCATCACCTTAATTCTTTTTTTTTTTTTTTTTTTGACAGGCAGAGTGGACAGTGAGAGAGAGAGACAGAGAGAAAGGTTCACCCTCCAATGGCCGCTGTGGCCGATGCATCATGCTGATCCAAAGCCAGGAGCCAGGTGCTTCTCCTGGTCTCCCATGCGGGTGCAGGGCCCAAGCACTTGGGCCATCCTCCCAAGGCAGAGGATTAGCCTAGTGAGCCACAGCGCCGGCCACACCTTAATTCTTAAACCAGAAAAAAATACAATGGAGAAAGAAAACTGTAGACCAATTTCTCTGATGAACATGCAGACATAAAAATCCTCAAAAAAATAGTAGCTAATCGAATCCAACAACACATCAGAAAGATCCTTCAACCCAGACCAAATGGGATTTATTCCTGGTATGCAGGGATGGTTCAAAATATGCAAATAAATAAATGTGATATATTACATTAACGAACTGAAGAATAAGAACCATAAGATTATTACAAAAGATGTAGAGAAATCATTTAATAAGATACAACATACTGTCATGATAAAAGCCTTAAGCAAATTGGGTGTAGAAGGAAGATCCCTCAGCACAATCAAGGCAATACATGACAAACTCACAGACAAGCATCAAATTGAATGGGGAAATAATGGAAGCATTTCCACTAAGATCTGGAACCAGAAGAGGGTGTCCACTCTCACCATTGCTATTCAATATAATCCTGGAAGTTTTAGCCAGCGCCATTAGGCATGGAAAGGAGAATGCAAATTAGAAAGGAGGAAGTAAAACTCACTCTGTTCACAAATGGACATTGTCTTCTATGTAGAAAATTCTAATGAATACACACACACACACACACAAAGTATTAATAAACTCGGTGAATTTGCAGAATATAATCTTGAATGTACCATTCAAAATCAGTTGCATTCCTACATACTCTCAGTGAGCAATAAAATATGAAATTAAGGAAATAATTCCATCTATAGTAGCAACAAAAAGAATACTTAATAAAGGTAAAGGGAGAGCAAGACCTTTACATTGAAAAGTGCAAATTATTGTTGGAAGAAATTAAAGACCCAAACAAATAGAAAGGTATCCTATATTCATAGGTTGGAAGATTTAATATTATTAAAATAATAATACTATATAAAGTAATCTAAAGATTCAATGAAATCATTCTGAAAATCCCAATGGCATTTTTTAGCAGAAATGGTAAAACCAAGTCTAAAATTCAAAATTCTAAATATTAAGTGTCAAAGAATTCTAAACTGCCAAAACAGTCTTGAAAAACAAGAAGTTCGAGGACTCACACTTCCCAGTTCCAATCCACTACAAAGCTACAGTACTTCTGTAAGTGTGATACTAGCAAAAGACATTCAGCACAATGGAACAAACCTTTCCATCTATGGCCACTGATTTTCAAAAAGGATGTCAAGACGATTCAATGGGGAAAAACAGCCGCCTCTTCAACAAGTGGTGCAGGATATCTACATGCCAAAGAATGAACCAGAAGCCTTGCCTTACATAATTTTCGAAAATGAACTCAAAATGAATCAGACTAAATTAAAGGGGTAAAACTATAAAATCTTAGAAGAAGACATTTTCATGACCTTGGATTTGGCAATAGTTTCTTAACCATGAAATCAAAAGCAGAGGCAACAAAAGAAAAAAAAATGGACTTCAAGAGTGAAGAGATGATCCACAAAATACAAGAAGATATTTGTAAATCTTCTACCTGACAAGAGATTAATAACCAGAATATGTAAAAATTCCAATAGCTCAACAACAAAAAGATAATCTAGTTTTTAAAAATGTGCAAAGAAGATATAAAATAGTAATCTCATGAGAGTATGTTAAACATCATTGATCATTAGATACCTAAAAATCAAAACCACAACAGGATACCACCTTAAACTTATAATGATATCCATAATTAAGCAGCAACAACCACAAATACTAATTATTGGCAAGGATGAGGAGAAAACTTGCACATTGTTGGAGAGAATGTAAAATGGTGCAACCACTGTGGAAAACAGTTTAGTGGTTCCTCCAAAAATTAAGCATAGAATTATCATATGATGTAGCAATTCCACTACTAGGTAAATACCCCTAAAAATTGAAAACAGGAACTCAAACAGATTCTTTTACACCAATATTCATAGCAGTACTGTTCACATTAGCTAAAAGATTGACACAACCCCGGTGTCCATCAGTAGATGAGTGGATAAATAAAATGTGGCATATACATAAGTAAGATATTATTCAGGCATAAAAAGGAATGGAGTTCTGAAACATGTTAGAAAATGGAAAACACGCCGTTAAATAAAGCAGGCCAGGTGCAAAAGGACAAACATTATGATTCCACTGATGTAAAGCAGAGTTTACCAGGGGATTGGGGGAGTAGAAGTGGGGAGCTACTGTCTGATGGGTGCAGAGTTTTATTTAGTGTGAAGTGATGAGAAAGATTTGGATACTGACAGTAACAATGCCCAACACTGTGAATGTAATTAACTTCACTGAATTATACACTTAAAAATAGCTAAAATGGCCAATTATATATTTTATGTGTGTATATCACCAAGATAAAAACCAACATAAAAGTAAAACTGAGATGCAGGAATCAGGTGACCAAACAAGCAGGAAACAAAAGAACTCGCAGACAGACAGAGGAAGGAGTTTCAGGATGGGAGCAGCGGAGCCTGACAGAAGGGTGCCCTCCAGAAGTGGTGGGGCTGGCCAGACAATGGCTACGCTCTCCTAAGTGAAACCTATGGGCTGGAGAAGCAGCCTGGAGCACACTGTCTCCTTAGCACACCCTACATATCTTGCATCTCCTTTCCTTTCCGCCTTCAGCTTCAAACAGAATCTTTTTTTTTTTTTTTTTTTTTTTTTTTTTTTGACAGGCAGAGTTAGACAGTGAGAGAGAGAGACAGAGAGAAAGCTCTTCCTTTTCTGTTGGTTCACCCGCTAAATGGCCGCTACGGCTGGCGCGCTGCACCGAACCGAAGCCAAGAGCCAGGTGCTTCTCCTGGTCTCCCATGCGGGTGCAGGGCCCAAGCACTTGGGCCATCCTCCACTGCACTCCCTGGCCACAGCAGAGAGCTGACCTGGAAGAGGGGCAACCGGGACAGAATCCGGTGCCCCAACCGGGACTAGAACCCGGTGTGCCGGTGCTGCGGCTCAGTAGGCTAATCCTCTGCCTGTGCAGTATCTTAACTTCAGAAAATATTACATTGACTAGTTTCTGTGTCCAGCACTATTTCAGAAACATGGAATACACAAAAATTATGTAGTTCTCGTGAATATGCAATTGACCCTCATTGTAACATCCTGTAAGACCACAATCACAGGAGGAACAGAAAGGATGGAAGTCATTAGACATCTAGGCTTCCTTAACAGGACTGAATCTTCTGTTGTTAGATTTTAATTCAGGGCCGGCGCCATGGCTCACTAGGCTAATCCTCCACCTGCAGCACCGGCACACCGGGTTCTAGTCCCGGTTGGGGCACCGGATTCTGTCCTGGTTGCTCCTCTTCCAGTCCAGCTCTCTGCTGTGGCCCGGGAGGGCAGTGGAGGATGGCCCAAGTGCTTGGACCCTGCACCCGCATGGGAGACCAGAAGCACCTGGCTCCTGGCTTCGGATCAGCGCAGCGTGCCGGCTGCAGCGGCCACTGGGGGGTGAACCAACAGAAGGAAGACCTTTCTCTCTCTCTCTCTCTCACTGTCCACTCTGCCTGTCAAAAAAATAAATTAATTAATTAAAAAGATTTTAATTCAAAAGGGAAGATGAAAAAGTCCTATGTAGAAAGCATTTTTAGAATTACACCTACAATCTAAAAAGACAATCAGAAACATTTTAAAGTGAAATATTTACGATATTTATTCTCCACTATACTGTAGAAAATGCTGTGATAACTAAAAGCAGGTTTAAAAATAGGCAGTTTTCTTATGCAATTTTCTATGAGAAAGCTGCGGTTGAGTAACACAATGTTACAAGAGTTCAAAAGAGACTTAAAACTTACATGTTTAGACATATTTTCTGAAAATATTACTGATTTTTCTCTTAAAAATGTGACAATGTCCTTGTAAATTGCACTTTTTCTCTCATAATTAATTTCATCTCCAGCATCTGTTTTGCCCTTTGGGAGAAAAATGTTGTGTGATTAATAGCAAGAAGATCACATCAGAATCTAGGTACACACACCGCTTTTTTCTCTGAACAGAACTCAGGCGGCGACCTTTGTACATGAAACGTGCAAGTCAAAGTCCTTCCCCATACATAACTCAGGTCACCCACTCACTCCCTGGTCCATGCACTCTTTCAGCAAGCACTTAGAGACCCCCTCTGGTTTTCAGGGCATCCAGCTACACAGCGGTAGGCGAGAGCCCCCTGCTTCTGCTCTCCTCCTTATGAAATGCATGATGACTTCAAGAGCCTTAGTTGATGAAGTCGTAAAAGGCGTGGGCCACCGCAGGAGAGCTTGTTTCTCTACCCTCTGCCCCTGCTCTGCATGCAGAGTGCCTGTGACCCACTCATGTTCATTCCAGGGTAACTCTCCCTCCACACTCCGAGCCTCCTCCATCTTCTCTCCTTGTTTCCCAGATTACTCTCTCTTGATGGATTATGTGTGTGTGTGTGTATATGTATACATATATGCATATATGCCATATAACTGCATATATAAATATGCAAAAGAACATCAAAAAGATCACGGATCATGAAATAAAGTTAATTCTGGTGCAAAATTTGAAATCCGTGCACAATGGCTTCATAATACACATTTTCCATGAACTTTTTGAGGACACCTCACATGTGGATTTCAAATATTTTTCCACCAAAATACACAGCGATATTTAATGTTTTAATTTTTCATTTAAAAAATGTGTATTTTATTTATCAGACTGAGACAGAGAGAGAGCTCTCATCCACGGGTTCATTCTCCAGATGCCTGCAACAGCTGGGGCTGGACCAAGCTGAAGCTGGGAGCTGGGAACACAGCTCCCATATGAGTGGCAGGGACCCAGCTATTTGAGCCGTCATCTGTTGCCCCCCCATCCCCATAACCAAAAACCATAGTATACATGAGCAGGGGGTAGGGAGTAGAGCCAGAACTTGAACCCAGGCACTCAGATATGGGATGCTGGTCTCCCATACACTATCTTATCTGCTAAACCAAATACTCACCCATAAAGTTACCTTTTAACTCCATTTTGTCCACAAATTTTTTGAAATCTGATTATATATAACTGTAGTCTTACATATAAATGTATGTATGCATATAATATCTGTGCATATCTGTGTATATACTAGCATATATGTACATAAAACTGCAGTGTGATTTGAATGTTCACTTAATGAACAGTTTTATGGGCTTTGTCTTTGATTTTCTAAACTGAGGAATACCTAGATGCTTCCATACCAAACACAGATGTATGTGCATGGATCAATAGCCTTTGCTACAAAGAGTCCTTGTCCATGTCTCAAAGGTCAAAGAAAATCATTCCTTCCATTATCTTTTATTTTCTAATTAAAGACGACCTTCTTTTAAAATATCAAAGCAAACCAAAAGCAAAAATCATCTAGGTGTCTACCTTCTGTATGCAAAAGTTAGTGCAGTGTGATAGCAATAAGAACAGCACAAAAGGCAAGTCAGAACAGATAGCAACGGGTAAACCAGCATTTTGATCTCAACCGAAACCAAGGTGTAAAACATCTCCAAGCAGTTCCCTGTGATTGCTGGGTCCCCAGTGAGGATTTGCATCCTCCTGGTGGAGTTTTGCTTGGGACTACCAGACACCGAGAGCACACTGGTTAGAGAAGAAAGCTCGTTCTAGCTAGGTTCAGTGACACAGCTAAGTGTTTTCAGCCTCATGACTCCGGAGGCTGTGTGCTGTTTCTCTCAGTGCAAAGCGCACCCACTCAGACTCTGCTTTGGGCTGGTTGGACTGGGGACTGCAAAATTATATTTTTCCTTTGTAATGTTAGGTTGGGTTCAGGCAGCAGAAAGCTAAAGGAAGACTGACAACCCAGAAGAGAAAGGAGGGCACACATCCTCCGGGTTGCCTGGTGCCCTGCGAGGGCCCTGTACACCTGGCAGGGGCAGTCACTTTCAGCACCAACAGCTGGTTCGTTTCCAGGGTTTTCCCCCCATAGTCCCGGAACCAGCCTCTCACATCCTCCTGTTACTGCTGGTAGGCCAGAGCTACATGTTCAAAGGTCTGGGTCCTAGTTCTACGCTCCTGCAGTACCAGCATTCACTGGGTAGCACCCACTCCTCAGAGCTCTGGATCTCAGCTCGTGGGACACATCTTCCAACGTCGTACTTGTGTGACTGTCTCTGCTTTCCATTTCCCTCCAACTCATAGTATGGACGCTGCAGTACTTCTCTATTACCTCTGTGTTCCTTTCTTGCCTTTTGTTTCCTTTAATGTTTGCACAACTACTCAGCTGATTACCTTGAAGAGGTTTTGGTTTTATAAAGAGGAGTGGGTCACTCTGAAGACTCTTCCTATTAGACAGGTTTAATGAACGCAATGACAATGAAGCCGATGCTGACTGACAAGACTTTGGATTTGCTTTGCAAGTGCATAGCTTTCACCCCATAAAACTATTTCATTGTCTCAGAGAGTCAACCCCTGAGCCACGCCCACATTCATGCACACCTAGCTAAGAACCTGTCCACTGGCTTCAGTTCTGTTTTTAAACAATTACTTACACCATTTAAAAATACTCCTTCTGCACTACAAGTAATGCACCAACTTTCCACACCATGTGGCTTCACCAGCACATAACACATTTCCCCATAAATCCGTCTCCAAGGTGGAGCTCGACATCCATCTGAAAATTCATAATCTGAAACCAATCATCAAGCAATTAATGAGCTTCTTTACCGCAGTTCTGTAAAATGTGTTGGCTTCAACCAAATAAATACTGTTGAAATTTTATGGTTTCATTTTCTTAAGTATCCAGTTATAATGAAGCAATTGAATTCATGTTGAAAATAAGATTTTGAAAATATAACATAAAATGAATCTGAGAAAACACAAACCTGAAGCGTATTCAATAGATTCCAAAACTGTTTGTTCTCCTTTTCCTGAGAAACGTTTTAGAAGCTTTATATCTTTCTTCACAATTTTTGGATTTAAATATATTTCTCTGAAATAAATGGTTAAAAATTTACGCGCATGCACTAAAACAGAATCTACAGGAGACATGTGAACATTCCATTGAATAAGAGAAAATTTATTTTTGTAATTAAAGTTAATTTTAGCCAGGTTATAATTTTTTAACAACATTATCAATATATCAAGGAAGTAGTGATTCATGTTGAACTGAATATTAAATATACTCAATTAAAGTTCACCTTGTTTCTTAATAATAACACTAAAATATTGGAAAAATTAAAAGTTTTGGACTATACAAACCCTATGTGGTATGTGCCTTATAACTTAATAACTCATGTAATAGTCTTAAGAGTCATTTAGAAGAAACAGGACATTTAACGTCTTCAACTGAATGAAGCCCCACTAGAATGCTTTAGCATTTTTAACTACATTTAAATTTTTAGAAGTATTATAAGGAAATCAAATAAGATTTTGTTCCATGTTAAGAAATCCATAGCAATGACTTCCACACGTTATGTTTCTCATGTTTTTCTCTAAAACTGAAAGCAGCTTTTATAGCTGAATTTTTGAGTTTTCCTCTTTACGAAGACTCACGGGGAAATGTGTTTCAGCAAGTGCCTGCGAAGGTGCGGCTCCAGCTGCTTAAATAGCATGGCAGTCTTCATCTGGATTTCACTCTCTGGGCCATCAACTTCGGTGACTTTTACATATTTAGTGCAGTTGAGTCTTCTTTTGAATTGTGATGAATGGGATGGGGAAGGGAGTGGGAGATGGGATGGTTGCGGGTAGGAGGGAGGTTAAGGGGGGAAAAGCTGCTATAATTAAAAAGTTGTACTTTGGAAATTTATATTTATTAAATAAAAGTTGAAAAGAAAAAAAAAGGACTGCAGGAAGTTGCGTCAAGGGTTCATGGCTTTGCTGGTGCCTGGAGGACAGGTGAGAAACACCCATCATAACTGGGCCACTATCATTGAGAATCATGCTACTAAGCTGAATTCAGTTATTCTGTTTCTCACACCCACAATATCTGCATCAACCAATGACTGATGAACAGGATTCTGAGAGACCTGTGAGTTCCCTATGTGTCTTCTGAATTAATAAGAAACAGAATATTATTGCATAATACAAGTCTAAATAGATTAGTAGAGAATATACTTATGTGAGGATACTATATTATCAGCAAAATATTCAAGAAATTCAAGTATTATATTCTCTACCAATATACTCTGCCTATAATAGTAATATTTTATTGTGACTCACAATTTTCTTAACAGCATATGTGAGAGATGTTAAGAGTAACTACAGAGGCCGGTGCTGTGGCATAGCAGGTAAAGCCGCCGCCTGCAGTGCTGGCATCCCGTATGGGTGCCGGCTCAAGTCCTGGCTGCTCCACTTCCTATCCAGCTTTCTGCTATGGCCTGGGAAGGCACTGGCAGATGGCCCAAGTCATTGGGCCCCTCCACCCACGTGGGAAACCCAGGGGAAGCTCCTGGGTCCTGGCTTCGGATTGGCGCAGCTCCAGCTATTGTGGCCAATTGGGGAGTGAACAAGCAGCTGGAAGACCTCTCTCTCTCTCTCTCTCTCTAACTCTGACTTCTGAATTTCAATCAATATAAATAATCTTTTAAAAAATAAAAAAGAATAACTACTTCTTTTTAAGCCTGTTTATCTAAATAGATTACCAAAATAGACTAGCATAAAATTTAAAACATAAATTGAAATGAAACAAATCTCACTTTGGGTAAATAGAGAAAAAAGATCTTGGGATGGAATATTTTCTGTCTCTCCCTCTCTCTCCATCTCTGCCTTTTAAAAGAATAAAATAAATCTTCAAAAAAATCTTCAAAAAGGTACCATTATCTGTAACATTAAATAAGATCCACTTTTTCTAACAAGCTCTGACAATTTATAACGAATATTTAAGGCCTTCCCCCTAACCTATATTATCTATTTGTTTCTCATTTTTTCTCATTTTCCTTCTGCTGGGTCACTCCCCAAGCAGTCACAACAGACAGGGCAGTGCCAGACAAAAGCCAGGAGCCAGGAGCTTCGGCAGGGTCTCCTTCATGCTGTTAGCACCACGATCAGGCACTTGGGCCACTCTCTGCTGCTGTCCCAGGTCATCAGCAGAGAGGGACTGGAACCAGTGCCCATATGGGATGAGGGCACTGCCGGTGGAGGCTTAACCAGCTGCACCACTGCACCGGCTCCCATTTTCTCATTTCCAGTGACACTGATTATTACAATCTTTCTCCCAGAATATCTGATAAACGTTTATAAATTAAATATAGACCACAGTCAACTTTTCCCTCCATCATTATAAAGGCTGAGAAGTACAAATTCTATAGAAATGACTTCAGAGTTCACTTTCTGTGCTGTACTAAATTTCGAAATCCAGTAACAGGTATCCAGATCACTGGCTCTCAGTAGACAGAAATGCTTTAGGGGTTGCTAGTTATCAGAATGGATAGGAAGGGGACCTATCACTGGCATTTAGTGATGAGGACAAAGAAGGCCAGCTATCTGCCCATCTGCGCAGGACTGGTGCCTCTGGAGCTGCTGTGTTCACTCAGCTTGAGTCCTACTCAAGTTGGAAGCACCGGCTGCTTCCTTACACGCCTGAGTGCAATGCGAACACAGCACTACTGGTATTTAAAACTCTATTGTAGATGTAGGGTTATTGTCTGCGATCTTGAGTCAAGAATATTCAATCAGCATTAACAAAGCAGGTCACAAAAGCCATGTATTGGCCGGCGCCGCAGCTCACTAGGCTAATCCTCCACCTTGTGGCGCCGGCACACGGGGTTCTAGTCCCGGTCGGGGCACCGGATTCTGTCCCGGTTGCCCCTCTTCCAGGCCAGCTCTCTGCTGTGGCCAGGGAGTGCAGTGGAGGATGGCCCAAGTGCTTGGGCCCTGCACCCCATGAGAGACCAGGAGAAGCACCTGGCTCCTGCCATCGGATCAGCGCGGCGCTGCGCCGGCCGCAGCGGCCATTGAAGGGTGAACCAACGACAAAAGGAAGACCTTGTCTCTGTCTCTCTCTCACTGTCCACTCTGCCTGTAAAAAAAAAAAAAAAAGCCATGTATTGGGGGGCTGGCGCTGGGGCACAGTGGGTTAAAGCCTTGGCCTGAAGCTCATGGGCGCCGGTTCTAATCCCGGCTGCTCCACTTCCAATCCAGCTCTCTGCTATGGCCTGGGGAAAGCAGTGGAGGATGGCCCAGCTCCTTGGGGTCCTGCACTCGCGTGGGAGACCCAGAAGAAGCTCCTGGCTCCTGGCTTTGGATCAGCGCAGCTCTGGCCATTGCGGCCATCTGGGGAGTGAACCAGCGGATGGAGGACCTCTCTATCTCTGCCTCTCCTCTCTCTGTGTAACTCTTTCAAATAAATAAATAAAGCTTAAAAAAGAAAAACAACATGTATTGGAGTAGATGGACTGAGAACTGCTCTGCAGCTGCGTGTGGGCTGGCGAAACCCCCAAGTATCAGCTGCGCACGGTTTCCGTTAACACCTAAGCAGACGCTAACTGAAGCCTTTGGAAAACGCAGGCGTTCGGCCGGGTCTAGGACGGCGGATTCTGCGAGTGAAGAAACCCCGCAGTGAAACCCACAGAAAACTTACTTTCAGCGCTGACTTGAACAGCGTTTTGCAGCCAACGCAAGCCAAACGCGGTGCACGGGCCGCTCGTCGGAGGCGCGGGACCCCGGCGGAGACAGGGGCTCAGCGAGGCAGAGAGGGCGCGAGCGAGCGAAGCTCAGCCGGCGGAGAGAAAAGTTAGGCGGCGAGAGAAACCGAAGCTTTTCGTGATCAGACAGCGGGCTGCGGAGCTCCCAGCGCCAGGCGGCGCGACGCCGCAGCCGCACTCACCTGCCCGCACCTGCTCCGCTCACCGCGCACAGCGCACCGCGCCGCGGTTGCTAGGACGCGATCAACTTCCGCCCCTGTGGGTGGCCTCGGTGGCGCCGCCCCCAAAGTCCACGCTCAGGCGCTGCGGGGCGCCTCTGGCGGTGCTCCCGGCTGGTTCCGCCGGCACTGCAGCATGCTGCCTGCCGCAGCTCCCCTGTTTTGGTAACCGTGGGCTTAGGATCCCGGCAAGGACTTGATGCGTGCCCGGGGACAGGGAGTGTGCGCGGTCCCTCGCTCCCGCTCCTGGTTCAGAGCGCGTTCCTGCGGAGGCCGTCTCCCAGCGTTGGACTCGGCTCTAGACCACCACCACCAAGGAACGTTTGTCCGTTTGGAGCGTGCACGGTGTGAAGACGGACGTTCCACAGAGGAAGAACCCTCACCACCCCCGCTTGTCCACGTGCTGGGCGCTCCCTGCTCCCGCTGGCTGGAGAACCCCGGCAGCTGCCTCTCAGGCCATTCCTTTAGGGAACTCTGCCTTCTCAGGGTCTCCTTGGCCAGTCCGAGGAAATAAAACTTTGCTCTGAGCAACTCCCCAAGCGAACTAACGCCTAAAGTAGGTCTGGTCTGTTAACCGTGCGGGTTTGGGGAGGGCACCTCTCACGTGGACGTCTTGTGATCTGCTTCTGCGTTTGGGGGTAGGCAAACTGAACTCCATCAACTGAGCCCCATTAGAGGGCATACCTGCCCTCACCCTAGGTCACCCCTGCAAGCTACAGTGAGAGCCAGGGCGACTGGAGAGAGAGAGAAATTTCCCAAAGGGAGGTGGCTTGATGTCCTGGTCTTGCTTCATGCAGCAGAGCTCTGTGAATCTTTTTTTTTTTTTTTTTTTAATATTTATTGGAAAGAGTTACATACAGAAGGAGAGGCAGAGAGAGAGAGAGAGAGAGAGAGAGAGAGAGTCTTCCTTCCGCTGGTTCACTCCCCAATTGGCCACAATGGTTGGGGCTGCACAGATCCAAAGCCAGGAGCCAGGAGCTTCCTCCGGGTCTTCCCCACGCTGGTGCAGGGGCCCAATGTCTTGGGCCATCTTCCACTGCCTTCCCAGGCCACAGCAGAGAGCTGGAGCAGCCACGACTCAGTACAGAGCCCAAATGGGATGCTGGTGCTGCAAGCCAGGGCTTTAACCCACTGCACCACAGCACTGGCCCTGAATCATTTCTAATATTCAGATTCCCCCTCTGTGTGCGTGTGAAAGGGCAGTGCAGGAGCGGGCTGTGCAAAGAGAGACCCTCAAGGGAGTCCTCTGAGCCAGGCACTGTCCTCACTGTGTTATTAATGTTCATTCATCCTTTGATGCTGTCACCCCACCAGGAGGGCACTGCTGGCACCGCTGTTTTCCAGGTGGAGAAACCAAGCCAGGGAGCGACTTGCTTTAGGCTGCTCATTCAGTCAGGGCCAGAGTCGGACCAGCCCAGGGATGTTCTGGGTTGAAAATCCTGCATGTCCAGTCTCCCTCCATGGCACCTGCCGAGAGTGTTTGGAATTGTGCTCCAGTCTGTGTGTGGGTGTTTTCTAAAGTCCTGATGATGAATGCCTTTCCGGCATCATGGCACTTTTCGTGCACTAACAATATACACCCTCCATTATGACACCGGGGAGTCACTGACTCTGGAGCAGGAAAGGGGGAGGATACAGACTTTAGGAAAACAACAAACCCCAGTTCCAAGAATAAAAATAGCACACCAGTGTGTGCTGTGGCCCAAAGGGAACCTAGTGTCTGAACATTTTCAAGGCCATAGGAGTTCAGTGTTTCAATATTCTGGTGGCCCAAGTAGAAAGACAAGGAGGTGGGACATGCTACTCAAGCGCACCCATTCAGCAAATAATGAAACAGGCGTAACAAAACTGTACAGCTGATGGCATCGTGTGCAGCCACATTGTTCAGTGCCTGGGGTTCAGATCTGCTACACAGTTTATTTCCTATCTTTAAAACTGTTTTTTGTAGAATCACAGTCACTCAGAAAAGTTTGATTCTAAAGTTTAAAAAGCTGGAGCTGGTACTGTGGAGCAGTGGGTTAAGCTGCTACTTACAATGCATCCCATACTGGAGCGCTACTTTGTGTCCTGTCTGCTCCTCTTTCCATCCAATTGCCTGCTAATGTGCCTGCAAAAGCAGTGGAAATGGCGCAAGTGCTCGGGCCTCTGCCACCCACGTGGTGGACCCAGTCAGAGTTGCAGGCTCCTGGCTTCAGCCTGGCACAGCCCTGGCAGTTGTGGTCATTTGGGGAATGAACACGTGAATGGAAGCTTGTTGTCTCTCCCCTTCTCTCTCCCTGTGTCACTCTGCTTTTCAAATAAAGTAAATCTTAAAAAAAAAAATTTAAAGGTAAAGGACAATCCCATATCCAAAGTTAAGGTAGATATCAAGATCTTATTATCCCAAGCAGAGATTTGCAAATAGACGTGGCTTACGGAAAAGTTTGGAGTTGAGGGGTCCAGAATATACTACTTGTGAGACGAAAGTTAATTTGAGAAGAAGGTACTGAATTCCTTTAATTTTTTACCTACCTAAACGCAGAGCCTCCCAAGAAAACACGAAAGAACGCAGTTGTCTCTAATCCCTCTCCCGGAGCAACCAGGGAAGGCATGCGTCTCCGGAGACATCAGCACCACACCTAAATAGACACTGTCAGCAAGTTCTCAGAGCTCCCACGTAGACCTCCAGGGGCCCTGAGAAGTCACCTCTCTTCCCTAAGTGCCCTTCTCTTTTATGCACCTTTTTGGGTCTCATTTTTCTGCAGTTTGCCTTACACATGTGTCTTTTCTCTTGCTAACCCGACTTTCATCTGCTTTTCAGGCTCCCACCACTGATCATAAGAGAGAAGTAGAAGTTTCTCCCCCAACTTGTCAAGATACATCCTGACCTTCTCTACAGAAATTCGTTTTGAGCTATGCCTGTGGGCTTGTGTGCCCCTCCTGCATGGTATCTTTGATATGGTTGCCAATCACAACGGCACATGCGAATGGTAGGGTGTGTTCTTGTGGGAGCTGACTCAGAAGGTCCTGGGCCTCAGTCAGTGATGGGCTGAGGGATGCATTTGGCTTCTCTCCTGGAGTGACTTAAGGATCTGCTCTAGGGTTTCCTACTGGGATGCCAATCCCCTGTCCTAACCTAACCTGGGCTCCCACTCCCTTGAAGAGAGTGTAAATTTAGGAGTTATGCAACTAGGTAGTTAACTCAATGGTGAGTGTAAAATGAGTCCAGATGGAATCAAATGATTGATATGGTGAGATTTACCAAGGTCTTCCTAATTTCTTATTTCCTTTCTGTGGGACTTCATACTAGTATGTTCTCTGAATGGAATGACGCATTAGACATTATCAGCATTAGACACAGCAAGCTGGAATCTGCATGTCGGGCAATCATTACTCCTGGACCAGGCGAGGGCTGAGCTGTTGTTGAGTGCTGTGATGCTCCTCAAAGCCATAGTGTGACTTCTGAATGGCAGTTCTCAGCCCCAGTTTCATTTTTGTCTTATTTAAGCTAGAGATGATAATAACTGCATAAGGGAAATCTCCTGAATCTCACTAAGTGTCAAATTTTTTCCTCTCATGCTAATCCCTAATGGAGTAAATAATTGTATTCAAGGAATACAAGCCAAGCATTTTATTCTGTAAGATTCTATGGAAACAGCCCATTTATCTCTTCTCTTGTTATTTAAAAATAACAAAAAGAGACTTTATATTGTGGCACAATGAGCTAAGTAATGCTACTTGGAATGTCTGCATCCTGTAGCTTTTAAAAATATTTCTTTCTTTCTTTGTTTAAAAGGACAAGAGCAAGAGTAGGAGAGACAGAGGGAGAGAGATCTATCCACTAGTTCTTTCCCCAAATGGCCTAAACTGCAGGGGTTTGGAGACTGAAACTGCATTCATGTCTCTGACATAGGTGGCTGGGGTTCAAGCACTTGGGCCATCATCTGATGCCTTCCCAGGAACATTAGCAGGGAGTTGGTTCAGAAGTGGAGCAGCAAGACTCTATACCAGGGCTCATATGTGGGCTGGTGCTGTCACAAGGGTGCTTTAACTTACTGAGCCACAACATCGACTCCATGCCTCCACTTCTAATCTAGAGTTCTGCTAATGCACCTGAGAGGCCGCAAATGATGGTCCACTCCTATGCAATGCTACTCTTGTAAGAGAGCCAGATGGAGTTACTGGCTCCTGGCTTTGGCCTCACCCAGCCCGAGCTATTGTGGGCATTTGAGGAGTGACCAATAGGTGGAGTTCTCTCTCTCCTCTCCTCTCCTCTCCTCTCCTCTCCTCTCCTCTCCTCTCCTCTCCTCTCCTCTCCTCTCCTCTCCTCTCCTCTCCTCTCCTCTCCCCTCCCCTCCCCTCCCCTCCCCTCCCCTCCTCCCCTCTCCCTCTCTCCCTCCCCCACTCTCCTTCTCTCCCTCTCTCTCCCTCCCTCTCTATCTTTTTCTCCCTCCCCCCTCCCTCAGTTACTCTGCCTTTGAAATAAATTAAACAAACCAATAAATAAATGAATACTTTCCCCTGGAAACTAAGTAAGTGAAATCACACAGCAACAAAATTGTTTATTTAGATAACAACTATTGGCCAGTGCCGTGGCTCACTAGGCTAATCTTCCACCTGCGGCACCAGTACTCTGGGTTCTAGTCCCGGTTGGAGTGCCAGTTCTGTCCTGGTTGTTGCTCCTCTTCCAGCCCAGCTTTCTTTTTTCTTTCTTTCTTTTTCTTTTTTTTTGGACAGGCAGAGTGGACAGTGAGAGAGAGAGAGAGAGAGAGAAAGGTCTTCCTTTGCCGTTGGTTCACCCTCCAATGGCAACCGCGGCTGGCGCACCGCGCTGATCCGATGGCAGGAGCCAGGAGCCAGGTGCTTCTCCTGGTCTCCCATGGGGTGCAGGGCCCAAGCACTTGGGCCATCCTCCACTGCACTCCCTGGCCACAGCAGAGGGCTGGCCTGGAAGAGGGGCAACCGGGACAGAATCCGGCGCCCCGACCAGGACTAGAACCTGGTGTGCCAGCGCCGCAAGGCGGAGGATTAACCTAGTGAGCCGCGGTGCCGGCCCCAGCCCAGCTTTCTGCTGTGGCCTGGGAAGGCAGTGGAGGATGGCCTAAGTGCTTGGACCCTGCACTGCATGGGAGACCAGGAGGAAGCACCTGGCTCCTGGCTTCAGATTGGTGCAGCACACCAGCTGTAGCAGCCATTTGAGGGGTGAACCAATGGAAGGAAGACCTTTCTCTCTTTCTCTCTCTCACTGTCTAACTCTGCCTGTCAAAACAACAACAACAACAAAAAAACGGTCAGTGAGTTAGTACATTGTTAGGTGCCTTGCTAATACAGAGATAATACAGATACAAATACTTTCATCTGGGCTTTTCAGCTTTTCCAAAAGTAAAAACTATGAAATCAAAAGGAAAGATGGACCTTAAAGTGATATTTTTCGGAATGCTCTTAGATGAATTGGAGACTTACACATTTGCCAGACAGGCAGAGTGGACAGTGAGAGAGAGAGACAGAGAGAGAAAGGTCTTCTTTTGCCGTTGGTTCACTCTCCAATGGCCGCCGCTGCAGCCGGCGCACCGCGCTGATCCGATGGCAGGAGCCAGGAGCCAGGTGCTTTTCCTGGTCTCCCATGGGGTGCAGGGCCCAAGCACCTGGGCCATCCTCCACTGCACTCCCTGGCCATAGCAGAGAGCTGGCCTGGAAGAGGGGCAACGGGGACAGAATCCGGCGCCCCGACCGGGACTAGAACCCGGTGTGCCGGCGCCGCAAGGTGGAGGATTAGCCTATTGAGCCACGGCGCCGGCCTAAAGTGATATTTTTCAAAGAAAAGCCACTATAAATTAACAACTGTGACTCGCGTGAATTTGCATGTCTGATTTGTAAGTAAAGAGAAGGCTGTTTGTTCAGCTGTTCTTTTGAGTATGATTAATGACTACTTCAAAGTGCTTCATTCCACTTGTATGCTAGCTGGTTTAGCATAAACACACTGGGACTTTCTCAAGATAATCAGAGACCATCTGCAGGATTTGGGGGCAGAGACCCGTAAGCTGGCAAAGGAAATTGATAACTCTTAGCTCATGGCTCAGGGTTCAGACCCTTGTGCCTGAAACACATCTAATGCAGATGCTATTTTCTGGGCCTTGTGAAAACAAGGGCCTGTTCCTGTCCAGCTGTGGCCAGGGGAAGGCTCTTAGACGAGTTGGAGACTTACACATTGCTAAGAGGCTGATAAAAACCTGAGAAGTCTTAACTACACATATAGTGCTTTAAAGGTAAGTATGCAATGTGAGTTGTTCAGAATCACGAACTCCACCCTCCAGGCAGCAACACTAAATCATAAAAGCGGAGGTAATGTAGATCCTTCTTAACGAAGCAGCCAAACACAGGTAGCGAGGTGTGGGTGACGAAGGAAAGAACACTTACATAATTGGAAATGATCTCAGATATAAGCTGCAAAGACAGTAAGAATTTATGCTTTTTCACTTCCTATTACACAGTTTCAAAAATCACTGTGCAATCATCATATCCTCTACACTAAAAAGCAAAATGAAATCTAATCAGACATAGGAGTGGTTTTCTTTACCACTCAACTACTTTCAAAAGTATCCAAATGTAAATGAAAATTAATTAAAATCCCGTTTTAAACCTTTAACATCAGTTAATTTAAGGGATAAAGATAGTCAAATATCAAGCTGATTGAGAATAAGGTATATGCCAGACCTGAGAAAGCTTTCTCATTAGAGCAAATAAAAGCATAATGACTAATAGTTGTCAAATGCTTACTACTGATGAAAATGGAGGCCATGTAGGGTACTTTAGAAAGTTCATGGAAAATTAAATTAAAAGATAAATTTATGTTGGTACACCAAGAAGTTTGAAATCTATTCATAGCTTTTTTGTGATATACATATTCAATGAACTTTTTGAAGGTCTTTCATCTACTTAAAGGCAAACTGCCCATAGCCACATAACTTAATTATTATTTCTCAAAAAGGCTAACCCTAAACATAAGAAAAACATAAATGTAAATCTTTTGCCTTGATCAGCATTGTTAATGAAAAAAAATACTTCATGATACTTGTTAAAACACGGTAAAGGAGACTTTATTCAGGACCACTGTTGCAGGTGTAAGGACCATCGCAATGGGTCTTGTTGTGGGGGAGCGATATTGGGCTCAGCTTCAGATACAGAATGGGCAAGTGGAAATTTAAGGCCAAGGAATAGTATGGGAATGAGTGGATGAAAATTGCTAGGAGGAAACATCAGGGGTCAAGGGGCTTGTGACCACGCTGACTCAGGATTCTTGCTGAAGACAGGGCAGCATGTTCAGACATCACCTGGGGATGGTGGAGGACAAGAAATCTGGGCAGATATTGAGATAATCAGGTCTTGATTGAGGATGGGGGGCGGTGCCTCTTGTCAAGCTGACTTAGCAGGGTTTTTGCCAAACTGGATTTTACTGGAAGCTCACAGACGGGTTTAGGGATGGTTAAGAAGGCTGACTACAGTTCTGCCAGGTGAGAGAGCTTTGTCAGAATGCTTCAGTACATTAAATTAGTGATGGACACATAAGTTCAGACATCTGTTTGCCTTATAAAAGAATATATTATTGTCAACCATGAAGAAATTCAGAGTAGTTCTTCCTTAATGAATTGTGTTGGAACTGCTGTAGAATGGAGACAGTGTTTGATATCTTCAAGTTTGCAAACTGTTTTTGTGGTAAGCACAGTAAAATCTCAACATTCTTACTTGACCTGATTTTGTTTTTGACACTGTATTTTGACACTGTGATTCCTAATAGCAGTAATTCCTTACGAAGTACAGATGAGGAAAACCAAGGCATTTGCTAAAGATCCTACAACTGAGAATGGAAGAAATAGGACTCAAATCCAAGTCTCTGACTCCAAGGACCATGTATGCTCTTCACCACTACACAACATACATATGCATTAAGAAAAATAGCAAATCGAGGCAGTAAGAATATGAAAAAAAAATACCAAAGTGAATGCCAAACACACTGCTCAAGAAATTCATCAGCAAAGGATATCAGAAGAATCTCGGAGGAAGGTGAGGCTTGATGTGGATTACAACTTAAACTTTTTGACAAAATTTAGAAAGAGGGTGTAGCAGGATGACAATGAAGATATCCATCATCCTTTCTCATGAATACTCCTTTGGTGTTACCAGAGAAAGAATTGGCTTCATCAGTCATTGAGCTGATCCATTGTGACCAATCTTATGTAATTCTGTCATAAGTGTATATATATATGTAGTATATATAAAAGACATCTTGATTAACTATGTGCCAATCATCTCTACTTTATATATGAGAAGTGCCTAAGTGAAGTGTACACTGTAAGAATTGATGAAACTGCTGGGAAACCCTTCTCTGAGCAACTTTGCATATCTTTCTAACTCCCCTTTGTTCCAGATTATCATTTCAAGGATGTTAGTGTGGCCTTGGAAGCAAACACTGCATGCCCCCTACTGGCCACTATAAAAGTTTTGGAATCTATCAATTTAGGGTTCTGTAATCCAGCCCACCGCATTTGTAGATGTCCATCTTGGTCTATCCATGTTGTCTCTGTGAGTCAAGGAGCAAGACAAATGGACACAAATAGTCTGGCTTGTGCTTCTTGCTGTGCTATGAGTGGAAAATGTCCTTTATCTGTGACCCAGTTTTCTCATGTCTTATGCCAACACCCACAAAACTATGGCATTTAGCTTGTAAGTAGGTAAAACCTCAGATCTTTCACAATTCTCAACAGAAATACATAAGATAGGAAGATTTAACTTCCTTTGTAGATAGGTCAGATTTTTCCTCATCATTGTTGAAAAATAAGTCATTTACTATGGCATCCATTGGATTAACAACAAGCAGATTACTATTTCAGCCAAGAGAAACCAAGAAAAGTAAAATTCAAGGATTGGTGCCTCCCGTGTCCTTACACTCAAAGTGCTCATCACGTAAAGCTAGGACTGTCAAACTGTGTCCAGCAAGCCAGATCTGTCCCGCCACATGTTTATTGTCTAGGGATCGACTGTGGCTGCTTTGGTGCTGCAGTAGCAGAATGTAGTAGCTGCAACAGAGAATGTATGGTCTACAAAGTCTAAAATACTTACTGTCTGACTGTATATAGGGATCTAAAGGAAGAGCCACACAGAGAACAAAGAATTCTCTCAAAACAATCTAAAGGTAAGCAGAAGGGAATGAACTTAACTATAAGCACATGAACACACTTGCATATGGCCCCTGCCCCACTCTTGTCATTTATTTTATCCTTACAGCAGCTTTATGAGGCTTATAGGTTGGGATCTTAGCCTTTGGGTCCAAACTGTTGAAATTCAAAGCCTTGCCTCTTATTAGATGAGTGATCTTGGGTAAGTCACTTTACCTCACTGCGACCCCTCTTCTCACTTGCTAACTGTGGGTCACATCACTTGGTTAATGGCAGAGTTAAAACTTCATGGAACAGCACCAGGTACATGGTAAAGCATGTGCTATTATTGTTTATCTCCATTTTTCATAGCAATAAACTGAGGAATAGAGAGGTTAAAGTATTTTTTCAAGGTCACATAGTTAGAAAAATGGAGTGGCAAGGCTTATTCTCAGCTCTGATTCCAAAGCCCATATAATTGCTGTTATATAACATCTAAATAATAAAGGTTTCTTGATTTTTTTTTAATTTGAAAGTCAGAGAGTGGCCAGCATTGTGGTGCAGTGTGTTAAGCCACTGCTTGTGATGATGGCATCCCATATGAGCACTGGTTGGAGTCCTGGCTGCTCCACTTCCGATTCAGCTCCCTGCTACTGTGCCTGCAAAAGCATCGGCAGATACCTCAAGCACTTCGGCCGCTGCCACTCAAGTGCCAGACTCTCATTTATGATGCTGTACAAAGATTGAAAGCTTGTGAAGGAGGATTCTACTCAACTGTCCATTTTACCATGTAATTAATAGCTCTCTTAAGGTTATAGCTATTTTCAAAGATATCAATTTTAATGAAATGTTTTTATCTCCATAAGTGAAACTTGAGGTTTGATTCTGATAGAAGAACAACTACAAATTGCTTGATATAAATTGTTTTGAAACCTCATACCCACAACTGTTGCCAGGGTTTCCAGAATTTTCCCCACAGTTAGATCCTAAATCAAATCTCTGTGGCTCCAGACACTGCCCCCTATTGTCTGGGTCTAGTTCTGGCCACATTACTGTTATGCCAGGCCATGGCATGTAATTCCTGAAGAAGATCCTTAGCACTTGCCCCTCCCAATGTGTCTACCAAACCATATTATCGTGGCTCTGCATGGAAGAGCTTCTTCCTAATCCTACTTTGATACTAGGCCATTGGCCTAGAAAAGATTCTTTTCAGAAATTGAGAAGATTTGATTTTTGAAAGTGTTATTATCTACAGTACAATTTGCCATTTCTCTGAATCTCCCAAAGACAAATCCCTCTCGTCTTCGCTGCCCTATAAGCAGCTGCTCCGTGCTTTAATCTAGCTGACCCTGGCAGAAATCACAGAACGGAAACAATACTCCTCTGCGTTGGGTGCTGGAGAGTAGACTCAAATTTTCATTCATTTCTAATGAATGCATGACATTTCCTGGGATATATTTTGAAATCTAAGCTTACCACTGGTCTTACTGATTTTACACATATGGCTGAGTTTTATTTAGTTTTATCTTGTTACAGTTCTCTGTATTAAAACAGATAGGTTTGTATCCTATAATCTGTGCTCCAGTGTAATGAAATTACGTGATAAATATAATTACCACACCATTTGAAATAAAGGACTTAATTCAGAAAGAAAGAATTACTTTTCTAAATATAGATTGGTTCAGACAAAATAAGGTTCACCTTCATTTCTAAATTAAATCTCATTTTAAAACACTCTCTAGGAAAATAATTCTGCAGGTAAACTTTAGGTTTAATGACTGACTAGGAAATACACCCTCCATGGAATTCATCACATTCCTTGCCTTGGCCTTACCACCTGAAATGTCTATTTACTCCCTCTTTTGCGCTCAATACTAAAACTACAATTTCTCAGCAAATTTGCTCTATTTTTATACTTCCAAGTTTTCCAAAATATCAGACATGTTTAGTCAAATACAGTAAAAATATTTAAATGTATAGCTTTCTAAGTTAACACAGATAAGACAGACTCTTTATTGAAATACTGCTTGAAAGATTATTGTTCAGTAAAATAGAAACGGCATTCTTAATACGTTTTAAAAATATGAACAAAACTTTTGAGTAGAATTTGTAATACAGTACCAAAATAGATGTACAAATACTGAAACTATCAAAAATCTTAACGAAAGTGAGATAGGTGACTGAAGAAATTGGAAAAGCAGTGAGTTTTGTTTTGTTTTTAACTGAAGGCTCTTGAGCAGTCACAGCTGCAGCATTGTCTGGAGAACAGCCGCTGTGTGCGCTGACACGTGGTCCCTAGTGGCAGAGGTGCTCCTTAGCAAGTGGTGGGCTGGGTTAATTTTGACAATAAGTTTTATGTGAGCAACAGTGAGAATAGTATGTCTGAACCTTTGCTAAGAGCCAAAAATCAGAAGGACATCAAAGCTCAACCGAAGAGTCCGCATTTCTACAGAAAATAAAATCAATTGGTGGACTTTCTAGAAAGTATATATAGTGCATTTCCTGTTCGAACCCTCCTTGTGTTCTGATAGTTTAAAGAAATCTGTAGAGGTCGGCCTCTTTAGTTCCTAACTTCATCAGTGCGCCCGGATGGAACATGAGGTCAACAATGTATACATCCGGCAGGGAGAAGCCCCCAGTCGCTGCCTTAGGAGACACATTCACCAGCTTCACTTCATTCCAAGCTCGGCCATATTCCCCTCGAACTAGAGAGCAGCTGAGGCCAATCCGATCCGCGAGAGCCTGTGGGAAAAACAAAAGACCAACCAAGGGTGATGAGGAGGAGGGGTAGAGAAAAATCTTTAGGCATAAGCCCACCTTGGCTGCAGTACTTGAAGCATGCAACTCCTGGGAAGACATGCTTAGAGAGGAAGCGTCAAAATGTGGAACATTGTCACAGGAGGAGATCCAATGTGGCAAGCTCCTTTTTCCTCAGGATTCTGCAAGGCTCACAAATCCCTGTGTAGATCCTGCTGGCAAGTGACATCTTTCAGGTAAGCTACGGTGTGTTGCATCAGCACCAGGTTGACAAAGGGGACTGAACAGTGGCTATTCCACAGGCTCTCTGTCAACTGTTCCACACTTGTATGCTGTGCTGTGATATGCTGTGGGATTGAATGGAGGCATTAGATCAGCAGGGACCTATATCAAGTCAGTTTATTCTATATAATGTAGATGGGTGCCGGGGAGCAGGTTTGTGACCGGGTCTTCTTGAGTTGGGGTAAGGTAAAGAGTAGGGCCATAAGCTGGAAGCCACACACAAACACACACACACACACACACACACACCAGCCTGCCCTATGTAATTCTATCTGCCTACTTGTCAGTCAAATAACCCCTATCCCAGGATGTTTCTCCCCTCACCTGGGATCTGGGGTAAGTACCATGTAGCCACACCCCTTCCAACCTCATCAGAGGCCAGGCAGCTGGGAGGGGCTTGCTCTCTTCTCCCTGCAAAGGAGGACTGGACAGGGCGCTGAGGCACCCTATCTGTTCTTCCCGCCCCCATCCTTTTCCCTTTCTGACCCGCTCTATTCCTGCGCACTTCCTCTGTGTGTGTGTGTGTGTGTGAGAGAGAGAGAGTGGTTTCCTCACCTTTAAAATGTCATCGCGTTGTGCACCGTACTTATGCTTGTACTTAGAATGCTTCTCTAGGTAACAGATTCCGCCTTGCCCACAACAGTCCTTGCAGGCTGTTTGCTGCCACTTTCACTGGAGGTTGCTTATGTTCCTTGGAAGCTGTTTCTCCCTATGTTCAATCCTGATCTCTGGAAATTTCTCAGTCATATCATAGTGAATGAGAGAGGCGGCTCAGGCTGCCTGGGTTTGAATTTCAGTTCAGCTCAGAAGCTTACTGGCCACTCACCGCAAGCAAGTGAGCTTCCATTTCTTCAACCATGAAATGAAAATAGTAGCAGCTTCCTCATGGTGGCGTGATAAAAGTGAAATGAGGTAACATATTCCACGTGCTTAAAAGTTAAGTAGCTAACAATACCACAGGGCGGAATTGTTTTGTTTGAATATTAGGTATATATAGATTAATTTAATGTATTGATTACCTGCTATGCTGAGGTGTCCCGGAATTTGGACTGAGAATGATAATTATCTATGGTAGAAGTAATGCGGTAGGTTTTTGTTTCAAATAGGCATGAATTTAAATTCTAGCTCCACCTCTGGTTGACCTTGGATGAATTATTTCTCTAAGCATGAATTTTCTTGTCTTAAAGGTAGGGGGGACTACTGTCAACCTTTGGCATTTTGGAGAGTGTTTACTATAATATTTATCAAGTGCCTATCAGGTAGCTAAAAGTGAGCTATAGTAGGAGTTGCAGGTATTATGAGAAAGGATTTTACATTTTCTCTATGTATTGTAGACTTAAGCGTGTTTGTAATTTAAAGGGCAATAGCTAATATAGATACATAGATTTAAGACAATAGAGAAGGAAGACTTGATAAAGCAAGAAATGTAAGAAAATAGGAAAGGTTGGCATTTGAATGCTAAATAGAATTAGGTTGGAACTGCAAATAAGATTCACCTGGATGTGGTGTGGTTACAAGTATTTGGAAGAGAGTATGAACATTCCAGAAACATGTTTTCAGCTTCTATTAATGTGTCAGTCACTGATACAACTGAATAAAAGATTGCCCTGTCTCTTAAACTGACCCTTCTCTAGTCTTCCATTTCAGTCAATAATCTCATTTTCTTCAGCAGCCACCCAGAGACTGGAAACACAGTGTTTCTCTCGTGCAGTCTTTCCCACCACACCTAGACAGTCACCGACTCCTTTCGGTTCTATATGCGCCATTTCCCTCTGAACACATCCCCTCTTCCACATCTGCACTGCATAGCATTAGCGGAGGGTCAGCCATGCTTCTTGCTCCAGTCACCCTCTAGTTGGTCTTCCTGTCTTCATTTTTGCCCTGGTTCCTTTGTCCCTGCAAGAGAGCTGTCACCACTGCCTTTCAGGATCTTTATCAGCAGGAGGCTACAGTCACCAGCAAGAGCCGGGCAGTGACCTCAGAACCGGAATCCCAGTCACTAGTCCAAACCCCTGACCCTAAATTTATCTTTTAATTTCAGTTTTTCCGTAAACTTTTTAAAGTACCCTTATATTTAAATGTAAGTATATCTAAATGACAGGACTTATATTATGCAGTTAAATGCTAAAAACAGGTTCATTTTAATATGCTAAAGACAACATTTTTATCTAATGGCAAATGAGGCAAAATATCTCCAATACCTTGAAAAGCAAAGCCCGGTGGTAGAAGATTCCTTTTTTGATCTGTCCAATTGGCACAACATTGGATTTAAGTTGGAATTTTAGCTCACTTATGTGGAGTTCCCAACCAAAAGAAATCATTTTCTCTTTTGCGATCTTACCACCCATTTTTTCTGCCACATACCTGTGTCAATTGCATTGAGATCAAATCAATCAAGTTTAATATTTTATTTTCAATACATTGTATATTACACACATGCACAATTATATGTGTAAAAGACACATTTCCTCTGAATTTTTATTGTTGGCTTTACTTTAAAAATGTACTTACAGTAACAAGGTTGATGAGCTTATTGTATGCGAACATAAATTGAAATTCTAGTAACTTTGTTTGACATGAAGAAAATGAATGCTAATTTTCCCAGTATTTATAAGAAGATATATGTCAGCTAACACTAAATATCAATGCCGTTTAAAATTTTTATCTTTCTTTTGTTCTTTTTAAAAATTTTATTTATTTGAAAGGCAGAGTGACAGAGAGAGAGAGAGACAGATAGAGATAGAGGTATCTTCCATCTGCTGGTTCACTCCCTAAATGGCTGCAACAGCTGGGGCTGGGTCAGGCTGAAACAAGAGCTAAGAACTCCATTTGGGTCTCATGTGGGTGACAGAGACCCAAGTGCTTGAACCACCATCTGCTGTCTTCCAGGTGTATTAGCATGGAGCTGAATCCGAAGTGGAGTAGCCAGGACTGGAACTGGTGCTGCAGTATGGAATGTAGGCATACAAAGAGGTGGCTTAATCTACTATGCCATAACACCTGTCCCTATCTTACTTTTGAAAAATACTTTTAAATATTTTAATCTGAATTCCAAGGCATTACACTTCTTTCAAGGAATTTAAACTCAGAATGAGACAAACATAAAGGTTTTCCCATTTGAATTACAAGAACTTTCATATTTTATTATTTTAATGTTTCTTCTAAAATGTATTATTTGTTCCAATTTAGAAAAAGATTTGACATTCTGTGACATTGAAATTAGAGGAGACAGAAGACCAGGAAGAGACGAGAAGGGGGAGGGATGTAGTAACAGACCAGTGAGCAAGGTAGGATCCATGTAGTATGCTGAATCTGTGAGTTGTCTCCTTGTGTTGAGTTCTAACTGAAGAAGTCAGGAAACACACCTGCAAAACTGTCAACTAATCCTCTATCACCACACTCTTGGAGTAAAGGCAGAATTAAACAGAATTTCCTCTTGCTGTATGTGAAACCAAGCAAAAAACAATGGTTAAAACAAAACAAAGCAAAACTCTAAAACCAAAACAACAATAACAATAACAAAACAAATATTTCGAGAGAAATCTGCTGAACTGACCCACGGTTCCATCCAGCCAGAGGTACTTGTAGTGAATGCCAAGGAATCAAAGATGTGAGGAAATATTTCTACATCTCTGTCTAGCTTGGAGTGGCTCAAGCTGAAAAAAGTCAGTTATTTGGGAATGATAAAAAAAATGTTTCTAATAGAGCATGAGTAAATTCGGCAAACGTTTACATGAGTCAGAGGAGCTGAATCAGAGTTCTGCTTGAATCATCACCTCTCAAGGATACCAGGAAAACTTTGTGGCCTAAAATATTCTCTCCTAGACCTGGCTGACAAGAAGTCAATGATCTCGTAACTTGAAAGTTGTCACATTCAAGTTCGATGATTGCAACTCACTTGTTTTTGGAGTAGACCCAAGCTCTCATAGAGATGGCAGCTATTTCAAAAGCTGGCGGCTCACCTACTACGTGATGTCAATCACAGTGATTCCTAATCGGTTATAGATATCAAGTTCTCAGCCTTCCCTTAGTGGAGTCAGATGCAACAGTCCTGAGTTGGCATTTAACTTAACGGTTAAGATGCCAGTTGGGATGCACGTGTCCTGTGTTGGTGTACCCTGATTCAAGTCCCAGCTTCTACTCCTGACATTGGCTTCCTTGTAATGTGCATCTTGGGAGGTAGCAGGTTGTTGAGTCCCTGCCTCCACATGGGAATGGAGCCCAGTTCCTGACTTCCACTTGACCCAGACCTTTGCCATTGTAGGTATTTAGGGAATGACCCTGAGAAAGGAAACATGCTCTCTCTTTCTCCCTCTCAAAAAACCAAAAACAAATGTACCCACGTGGACGAAATAGAGGAGTGCCATGCACTGATAAACTTTAGAGTTCTTTATTGTTGGTGGTCGAGAGTGGGCTCATGCCCACCTCGGAGCTGTAAGCAACAGGGTTGACAAAGGCAAAAACCATGAGGAGGGGAGAGGAATACATGGGTGCTAGGGTCAAGCTGACCTAAATCATATACCAATTACAATCTTGACCATACCGATTGCAATCTTGACATTAGTCCAGGTGTTGATATAAATCATATACAGGACTTACACAGAACACAATCTTGACATTAGCCCAGGTGCAGCCTATCTGTTTCATGCCTGAGTGATCAAGCTAGGGGATTTCTGTGTTCTGTTAGGCAGGATGTGATGTGCTGTTGTTGTTTTAGTTTTAGACCAGTCTCACGCTGGGGGGTGCTTTTTCCAAGATGGAGTCTTGTTTGTCTATAAAATGGAGTCCTTACTGTCAGCGTGTCACTTCACAAACAAATAAGCAAAACAAATTCTATGAAGAGTGCAACTTCCTGGACTTTCATAGAATCCTGAGCCTGCCCATGCAACCATCTCTTAGGATGTTCATACCCTACTTTAGAACAATGTGAAACACAACAAAAACAGACGTGTAACAGAAAGAGGCCTGCTATTTGTATCAAGAATAATTTGTGAGTTCATAAAGCATTCACAGTATGATTCCATTAAATTCTGAGTACTCCATTCACATAAGAAATTATATAATTTTAAAACTTGATTCATTTATAACTTATTCAGGATCACATGGAAAGATGTTTAGCTGGAAAAAATAATAGGCATTTTCCTGTAAGCAATTTCCAGCTCTCAGCTCTGATGCTTAGTGGAAATGTGGCCTAAAGTAGAAATTGAGAACTTTCTCAGTTCATGGTGTTTCAATTCATTGTCAGAGTCAGAGTGCAGGAGCTATAAATTTCAATTTTATTATGTTGTATTTGTCTGAAAATTGACTGAGAAAGCAGATCACTAAATTTTAAAACTCAGGAATTTAGACTCAGAAACTTACTTGGCAAGAACTTCGATCTGTTCCTTAATATTTGTGATGGGCAGTATTGACTTGGTCACCTCATATACATAGATACAGAAGTCAGGGTCAGAGGGAGGGTACCATTCTTTATCAAGGGTCCCTTCTCCAGTCAATTTTGGTACTGCCAGAACCTCTTCCTCCTCTTTTGCTTTTTCCTCTTCTCTTCTTCCTCTGCCTTTCCTACAAGAGTAAACGACAGCAACCAATATGACACCCTCTGTTAAACAAATCAGCAAACACTGTGTTCTGAGTTAATCTGAAAAGCATGACAGAAACAGGGCGTCTTAGAACTCAACATCTTTAAACATCCTGTTTAAAATTTTCATTTACAGAGGCTATATTACATAGAAGAAACTAATTTTAAGAAAATACTATGTAGCCGGCACCGTGGCTCACAAGGCTAATCCTCCGCCTTGCGGCGCTGGCACACCGGGTTCGAGTCCCGGTCGGGGTGCCGGATTCTGTCCCAGTTGCCCCTCTTCCAGGCCAGCTCTCTGCTGTGGCCCGGGAGTGCAGTGGAGGATGGGCCAAGTGCTTGGGCCCTGCACCCCATGGGAGACCAGGAGAAGCACCTGGCTTCTGCCATCGGATGAGCGCGGTGCGCCGGCCGCAGCGTGCGGGCCGCGGCGGCCATTGGAGGGTGAACCAACGGCAAAGGAAGACCTTTCTATCTCTCTCACTGTCCACTCTGACTGTCAAAAAAATAAATAAATAAAATAAAAAAGAAAAAAAAGAAAATACTATGTAATACATATATTATTAAATCATATTGGGCTTCTGTATAGATATCTGCAAAGTATCAGGTACTCAGCAAGTATATATTTAATATTTACTGAACTGAAAAAAATTTAGTTTGCCACCTCAGAGAGTCTAAGCTAGTTTTATATCGTATCTTGCTTTGGTTGAGATATTTTTTCTAAGATTTTATTTACTTATTTGAGAAGCAGAGTTACAGAGAGAGGGAGAGAGAAAGAGAGAAAGGTCTTCCATCTGCTGGTTCACTCCCCAGTTGCTGCAATGGCTGGTGCTGGGCTGATCTGAAGCCAGGAGCCAGGAGGTACTTCTGGGTCTCCCATGTGGGTTCGGGGGCCCAAGCACTTGGGCCATCTTCCACTGCTTTCCCAGGCCATAAGCAGAGAGCTAGATTAGAAGAGGAGCAGACAGGACACGAACTGGTGCCCATATGGGATGCCGGTGCCACAGGCAGAGGCTTAGCCTACTATGCCACAGCGCTGGCCTCTAGTTATCTTTTGCAAGAATTTGTGTTACCATTTTCAAGAAAAAAATATCCAAAACATGGAAATAAAGCAAAAAACAACATAAGATTGGCACTTATTTTCCAAGTCACCCAAGATTTATTTAGGGAGACATACTTAGTTCTATACTTAGTAAAAGGAGAATTTTCTTAGTAAATAGTAAAGACGCTATTTCCAATTAATGAAGACACTATTTCCTATTAATTTTATTAGGAAACAGTAAAAATATTACTTCCTACTAGTGAGAGTTCTGGACATAGAGGATTACTAGTTAACATGCAAATTTTTATTTAATTGAAAAGCAGATAATTTCCATCTAATGAAAAAGATACTACCAAATATTGCAGTTAATTGTCTTGTAAGATTTCATCCAGTTTTTTTATAACTCATCAATCTTTTTCTAGTATTCCTTAATTAAATTGGATATAAATACCTTATACCTCAAATGTTTGTTGAACCAGTATCAACATCTTACTGGTTCTCTCATTAATTAATGAGCTGAACAAAAACATTGGCATGGATTCTCATTCTGGGAATATGGAATAAGAACACTGCAACTTGACATCTCCATTGAAGATAATCATAAAAGCTGGACAAGATGCATGCAACAACTACTTGAAGACCCTGAAAAGCAAGTAGCAGCAGGAAGATCAGAGAAGACTGAGAATGAGTGCTGAACTGATGGTGAGCTTATCTTCCATATTATTTTCTTCCATTCCCCATGGTGAACTAAACCTAGCCAATATCTGGACATCGGCTTTAACATGAAGAAAACTCAGGGAGAAGCCCTCCTGAGAAACAGGGAAGACAGGGAGTGGAGAAGTCTCTGCTTTGTTATTTCTTATTTTTCTCCATTCTGATGCACCTCAATTCCTAAGAATCCTGTGACAGTGGTGACACTAAGAGACTATCAGAGCCTAAAATGGCTTTATTCTCACCCAGACCACTTGATGTTCGGCTGCATACAGGGGTGCAGTCATGGTAGGAGTGTAACAGAGCAGAATAAATAAAATTTTCTGGTAAATGAGCTAAAGGGAAACACCAAGCAACCGGAAATGACAAGGGAGATCATGGACAGAAAGAAGTCATAATGCAACACCTTAACATTGCTTCTGAATCCCTGGGCTTATCCTGATCTGTGCATGCATGCTTTGACTCTAAGCGACACATACAGACTTTGAGAACTGATTGAATTTGAGAACAAAGGGATAGACTACCACTCAAACTCCAAACTGGATGCTAGTTAGAATATATGCAAGATTGATCAAAGTGGCACTGCGAAGGCTTTGAAAACTGGATTGACATTGGAATGACACCCCACGGGGATATTGATTGAAATTTACAGCCTGGGGCCAGGCACTGTGGCATAGCAGATAAGGCCACCGCCTGCAGTGCTGGCATCCCATATGGGCACTGGTTCTAATTCCAGCTGCTCCACTTCCAATCCAGCTCTCTGCTATAGCCTGGGAAAGCAGTAGAAGATGGCTCAACTCCTTGGGACCCTGCACCTGTGTAGGAGACCTGGAGGAAGCTCCTGGCTCCTGGCTTCAGATTGGCACAGCTCTGGCCATTGAGGCCAATTAGGGAGTGAACCAGTGGATGGAGGGCCTCTCTCTCTGCCTCTCCTTTTCTATCTGTGTAACTCTGACTTTCAAATAAATAAATAAATCTTTTTTAAAAAAAGAAATTTACAGCCTGAATCCAACCATGAAAAAATAACTGCAATAACACACACACAAAAGGGGTAGTCTTAGGATGTGACTAAAGCCCTTAGGACTTATAACATAATATAACTGAAATTTTTTATCATGTGAAGAACTAGGAAAATCTCAACTCATATGGGAAAAAAAACACTCAAAGACACCAACATCTGGATAAAAGCTATTAATCTCACAAAATGCTCCAAGGAGAAAAGTCAAGCACTCTTGAAATGAATAGAGAGTTAGAAAGTCTTAGAAAGGAATGGAGATGTAAAAATAAAATTTTTAAGTGGAAAATACAGCAATCAAAATAAAATCCAACTCCTTGGGGTCTAATGGTGTGGCAGGTGGAGCCACACAACCTGTGTTGCCGGCATCCCATAATGGGCACTGGGTTGTCTCTGGCTGCTCCACTTCTGGTCTGGCTTCTGGCTGATGGCCTGGGGAAAGCAGCAGAAGATGGCCCAAGTGCCTGGGCTCCTGGCAGCCATGTGGGAAACCCAGAGGAGGCTCCTGGCTCCTGGCTTCAGCCTGGCCCAGTGCTGGCCATTGTAGCCATCTGGAGAGTGAGCCAGCAGGTGGAGGATCTTTCTCTCTCTTTCTGTTTCTCCCTCTTTCTCTTTAACTCTTTCAAGCAAGTAAATAAATCTCTTTTAAAAACCCTCCCTGAATGGATTTAAAAGCAAAATAGAGATAACAGAGCATTGAATCAGTGAATTTGAAGATAGAGAAGTAAAAATGATCCGATCTGAACAATGTAAAATTGACAGTCTCTCAGGGGTATAACATAAAAGATCTAATACTAGTGTCATCAAAGTTAAGGAGAAAAGGTGAAATACAGGAATAATCAGATAAATAACGGTTGTCATGGTTTCATCAATTTGTACAAATGTACATGGTCAACAGTTTCAGTGAATGCCAGTAAGGTAATCCCAAGGAAATGCACACCCAGACACCTCAAAATCAAACATCGTCGAGCTGAAGACGGAGCAGAGGATAAGCCTGTCTGTGCAGGAAATCCTAAGGAATCTACCAAAATCTCCTGGGACTAATAAGTGCATTCAATAAGGTCTCAGGCTATAAGCTCAAAATCACTCATGTTTCTAAATAGTAACGATGAACACATGGAAAGCAAACTTGAAACCAAAACATTTGGGAGTATTTACAATTGCTCCAAAGAAAATTAAACATTTAGGTATAAACTTTATAAAGCATATAGGAATTCCACGTTTTAAATTCCTATATGGTCTGAGTGAGGAAAATAAAGCATTTTGTTGAAATAAATAGTAAAGACCTAAATAAATGGAAAGACACACTGCTTTCATGTATTTGAAGATACAACATATTGAAGACATCAGTCCTCTAATGTGATCTTTTAATACGATTCCTATAAAATCTCAGCAAAGTTTTCTTTTAGACAAAAAATTTTATTCTAAAATTTATATGAAAAGGCACAGTCTATGTAGAATAGCTAAATGAAAAATAGTAGGAAGACTAACTATACTTGATATCAATGTTTACTACACAACTACTGTGAAAAAGAGTGCTTGACCCCAAAGGAGGGATAGAGACATATACTGATGTAACAACAGAGGAGCAGCAATAGGCCCACATAAATATGCTCACGAAATTTTTGACAAAAGTGAAAAACGAACTCAATGGAAAGAAGATAGCCTTCCCAACAAATCATATTGGAACAATTAGAAATATAAGGTCCATGTAGTGACAAAATCTGTCATTATCTTAACTGCACATGAATCTACGTGTTATAACACTGTATAGAGCTAAATACCCACACACAGAGAGAAGTGGAACACCTGAATAAGTCACTGGATTGAGCCCATATCAATATTATAATTATGATATGGTGCTATAGCTTTCAAAATTTCATGATTGGTACATAGGATCTCTATTATTTCTTTTTTTTTTTTTTTTGAATTGGAATCCCCTGGTATATTTCTTTTTTTTTTTTTTTTTTTTTTTTTTTTTTTTGGTTTTTTTTTTTTTTATCTTTTATTTAATGAATATAAATTTCCAAAGTACGACTCATGGGTTACAATGGCTTCCCCCCCCCATACCGTCCCTCCCACCAACAACCCTCCCCTTTCCCACTCCCTCTCCCCTTCCATTCACATCAAGATTCATTTTCGATTATCTTAATATACAGAAGATCAGCTTAGTATACCTTAAGTATTTCAACAGTTTGCTCCCACACAGAAACATA